TCGATCCCAGGACCCTGGGATCATGACCTGAGCCAAAGGCAGACGCTTAACCATCTGAGCCACCCAGGCGCCCCCAAATGAATCTTTGTTAAAGGTTCTGCGACTGCGTCTGAAAAACCTGCTGAGTGGTCTGGTGCACATAGACGCTGCTCAGCAAGAAGACTTTCCCCCTTTCTGTTCGGTCCCTAGCGGTGCCATCCTGTCCAAGTTTTTCTGTTTCTGTGAGCTCCTTTAGAATAGCCCCTGGAACTTTGGGATCCTCAGAGGTCAAGGGTTTTATTTTTTTTGACAGAGAGACTGAAGTCAAAGCCCTGCTTTCCTTGTCCAGATCCAAAAGTGAGTTTATTCCTAAGTCCAGACACTCTTCGTTATTAGGTTTCCCTGGCTCCAGCTAGGAGGTTTCCAAGGTCAGTCTCAAATTCCCATACGTAATCAGAGTGTAGAGAAAAATCTCTTCTAAGATTGTGGATTGCGTGTGTTCCTTGAAGTGGTGTGGTGACCTTTGATGCCTGGTGACTTTGGTAAATGCTGCAGTTCAGGGGGACACTTGGCTGGGGAGCCCGGACATTCCTCTGAGTCCCTGACCCTCAGGGAGACCAGATGGCACATGGCACCTCACTGCGGCCGGGCAGGGGTCCCATGCGAGTTGGCCGCCTGCAGGTGAAGGCTCATCCTCTTCAGCGTAATTCCTGTTGCCTTTAGAATCTCTTCCAGCGATAGCAGCTCCGTCCATGTGGACCCGACCCCAGATCAAAGACTTTAAAGAGAAGATTCGGCAGGATGCAGACTCCGTGATCACAGTGGGCCGAGGAGAAGTGGTCACTGTTCGAGTCCCGACCCATGAAGAAGGATCATACCTCTTTTGGGAATTTGCTACAGACAATTATGACATTGGCTTTGGGGTGTACTTTGAATGGACAGACTCTCCGAACACTGCCGTCAGCGTGCATGTCAGCGAGTCCAGTGATGACGACGAGGAGGAGGAAGGTAGAGCCGTGGGTCCGTACTGACAAGTGCTGGGGTGTGTGTTGGCAAGAAGGGCCTGGTTCCTGTGTCAGCCACCCTTATCCTGATTAACTCTTTCTGGACAGGGATTCATCTCTTCAGAAGTGGGACCTCAGCTGGAAAGGCTGAGAGACAGGCCAGCCTCTCAGAAGGGCCTGGGGTCCGAACATGCCATTATTTCAGTGCGCGGCGGGTCTGTCTGGCAGTGTATTACGTGTTACGTCTCTGCTTTCTCAGTACTGTTTTACTTCCAGCACTTTGTGTTGGAAAGCCAAATGTGCAAGATCATTTTGAAAAATTTTAAAAGAGCAAGCAAGAAATTCTGCCAATTCTGGAGTTTATTTAAATTTACAGTTCTGATATTAGCTTTTTAGGTCGTTACTCTTTTTTTTTTTTTTTTAGTGTAAATACAGAAACTCATACCAGAACGTTGTACCTAAAAAAAAAGTCAGCTGTTCTTCCCCATTTTACACAAGTATAATTTTTTATTTTCTCCCAAGTGGACAAATGGAGTGTTTCCAAGAACAGTTTAAACTCTCTCAGTCTAGGAAGGAGACTATAAAATGTATGCATATTAATGGAGAAGATGGTCTCCTTAATTTTGTTTTGCAGAAAAGGTAGAGCTCAGGGCTTTGGTACGTACCTAGTGAGCACTTGAGTTCCTGGGTCGGCTTGGCCGAGGCTCGTGTGGAAGGAGTGCCCTGGCCGTGGGAGTGAAGCGGCAGCCTCTCGGTTCTTGGAACTGTAACCTTTGGGGTGACTTGCAGACCAGCTGCTCGTGCTTGAAGACGGTTGGTAGTGTTTCGCAGAGATCACGTTGGGATACACTGAAAGAGGTAGTTGTCAGAGGTTTGTGGAGGAAGGCTAGAAGTTCAGGCAGCTGTGGAGGCTCGCAGTTGGATCCGGGCACCACACGTGCTGCACGCCAGGCCCCCTGGGGCCACGTATGGCAACATACGCGTGGGCCCGTGTCGTTGAGGGGCTGCTTTGTGTCCCGTGGCCTTTATCTCTGAGGTCCGGAGCCTGGTGAAGCATCGCCAACAGATACTGCTGACTGAACTGGAAGGGAAAACACAGGAGTGAGGAAAGAGCAAGCAGAGACAAGAGAGACCCCCGAGCAGGTACCCCGACCCCCATGGCAGGTGCCCCCGAGCAATGTCAGGGCCAGGGACTGGCATCTCTGATGTGCCACAGGGACTCATGAAAATCAGACTGTTTGCACATGTCTGGGAAGGGAGGTTTGTGGTGCAGACTGTTGTACTTCGAAAGAGCTTTGTGGCTAGTGTAGAAGTCTGCTAAGAAGCAGGTCGAGATGATCTGTTTCTCCTGGCTTGCCTGCTGGAGAGTCTCCAAAGGGAGGTTGTCCTAGTGTGAGCCCTCCGCTGAGGGTCATTTTTGGCTACTGATGTTGGGTGGGGCGCCGGTAAACATGGCCGGGGTCCAGTGCCTCTCTGGAGGCGAGAGCCACGGCACACCCTTGATCTTTGCGTTCGTGTGTGACATCCCTCAGGTGGAAATGGACTTACCTGTCCTCAGGCTAGTCCTAATCATAAAATCATTTCTGTCTGAAACTAAGTCATTAATACCCCTGTGTGAACTGAAACAACAGTGAGGATTTATTGCTCCCAAGAGTTGTTTGCGAAGAGTGAGCATAACTCTCCTTTTTGAAGATTTAGCTCACAGACTGCATGTGTCCCCATGGCTTCTTATGAAGGCCACCATGCCACCTCGTCTTGTCCCCATAGTGCATTTTATGGGGGTCCTTTTAGCTTGGATTAAGATGGAAGAGCAGTCCAGTCTTTTTGTTGCTTTGGGGTTTTTTTTTTTTCTCCATTTGGTCTTGGAAGCTACAGGAATTTGTTCTCTCTCAAGTGTGGCTGATAACTCCCATTCTGTGCTCTGATTCTTCCCGTCTTTATTGCTGCCAGGTCCCAGGTCTTTGCTTAACTTGATGAAAGGTGCATTGCTCATCTGTCTCAGTAACCTTTAGTTTTACAGGTTTTGAACAAAATCTGGATCTTGAATTACTGGACCAGTAATCTGTTTCATGGATATCCTTATAGGCAATAGTTTGCATTTTGAATGGCTCTGTATTTCTCATTTGCAAATGAAAGATATTTAAGTATTGCTATGATGAAGCAAATCTGATTTGGGCCTATTTATCAGAATGTCATTTGCTTTTTTTTTTTTTAAGTAAACTTTTTTATTTTAGAATAATTTTAGATTTATAGGAAAGTTGCAAAGACAGTACAAAGAGTTCCTGTGTACTCCACACCCAGTTCCCCCTTGTGTTAACACCCATTTGTACTGCGGTACGTTCAGCATCAGTAACGAACCAATGTGGATACGTTATGATTCGCTGAAGTCCATATGTATTCACATTTCCTTAGTTTTCATCTAATTTCCAGGATCCCATCCAGGATGCCACATTTTAGTTATCCTGTCTCCTTCAGCTCCTCTAGACCATGAGAGTTTCTCAGACTTGCCTTGTTTAAATTCCTGTTAGTGGCCACTGACCGTCACCGCGCAGTTAACCAATGTTGCCAAAATTCACTCTGCCGTGTTATGGACCCGAAAGTCTTTTATCTTTTGCACTGCATATTCCTCTGACCTGTTTGCCTGAGGTTGTTTATATTTAATATGTGAAACTGAGATTTTGAGCTGGTTCATAATTTTCTCACTCCTGTAGGTTTCCAGAGGGTTTTTTTCCCTAACCACCTATCATTACAGTTCAGAAACTATTAACTGGGACAAACCTAGAATCAGAGCTCACTTTTTGCCACTGGGATCATCCCCGGGTTGACACAGGCCTATAGCGAAAGGAATGGATTTTCAGAGTGTCTCTGAATACCTACCTCTCTGCTGTGGTTTCCTCATTTTACTCTCAAAGCTAAGATGTACAGAACATAATAGTCCTCAGAAGCTCGATTTCCCCTTCCTAAAACAGAGAGAACTTTCATATTGTTGAGGAAGAGGACAGGAGCATCGTTTTCCTCGGTGCTGATCAGATGAGCGAGGTTCCGCCTGTCGGGAGGAGTGAGGAATCGAGTGGGTGTCCCCAGGGAAGAGTGGGCTCCAAAGTGGGAGCGGTGGTCCAGGGAGAGCGAGATGCTGGCTGCTTCCACCCCCAGCTAGCAGCTGCTCAGAGACAGGAACGAACAAATGAACGAAAGACGAAGCCAGGACGTGCTCACAGGCGTGTACATTATAGAGTGGCTTCAGAGAATTCCTGATGAGCCGTTTCTCAGAGGAAGGATGGGGTTGCAGTGCTTGATGCAAATGTGGTTTTCCTGGATCTGTTCACTGACATGTCTCCATTCTGTCTCACAGAAAACGTCAGTAGTGAAGAGAAAGCCAGAAAGCACGCCGCCAAGCCTCTGCTGGACGAGATTGTGCCTGTGTACCGGCGGGACTGTCACGAAGAAGTGTATGCCGGCAGCCACCAATACCCAGGGAAAGGGGTCTACCTCCTCAAGTTCGACAACTCCTACTCTTTGTGGAGGTCAAAGTCAGTCTACTACAGAGTCTATTATACTAGATAAAGACGTTGTTACAGAGTCTGGAGTCTAGGGTTGGGCAGAAGACAGCATTTAGTTTGGAATTTCTTTTGACTTTTGTGGAGCATTGCAGTCAGTGTTTACCCTCTTGGATTTTGGTCTGATGGCTGGTGAACTCTTGTTGGGACTCGGGGTTCCCTTGAGACCCTTTAGCATTAATACTCTGGGGCTCGGGGGCTTCCTCAGAGCCCTCCAGCCCTTGGGTGCTGACCACCAGAGTCACTAATGGATGCTGAAGTTACAGGAGCTATGTGTTAAATCTTTAAGGTCTCCAAAATAAAACCTCCCCACGTTGACCCCACCTGGCCGATGGTGAGTCCGTTGCTGCCTGCTCCATGTGTCTTATGAGAGCCCGTAGTTACCGTGACTGCTGATGGGACATCCTCATGTCAGTAGTCTCCGTGAGGTGCAGCTGACTTTGATGAAGGTCATCATTTTTAAAGCTTAAAAACTCAAGACCTCACAGATGATCATAGACAGATTGCCTCAATTTGATTTTGTTCTGAACAACCCAGATTGTTTTTGCTTTGAGTGCAGCTGTTCAGTTCAGAGTTGTATGACAGAGAATTATTTTCTGAGATAATCTTAAGAATGTTCAGAGCTGATTGATAATCGAACTATCAAGACACCTAGAACACCTCAGACATCCGTCTTAGCAAGCGTCTGCTTGGTCTTTTGCTTTTCCTCTGGTCCTCACTCTGCCGGTAACAAAGCAGAACTAACTCCTTTTTGTCTTGATTGGGCTTTTATAGAGTACCTCAAATTGAAACTGTTTTCTACACAAGCAGATAGGTAGGGGTTTTATAAACTCGAATTGGCACCTACTGAATTAAAATATATAAAATCACTCAAATATAATTCGGTGTGTGGGGAGTAACATTGCACTCAGTGGGAATGACTGCCAGAGACAGTCCGTTTTCTCTTCGTGTGTTAATACGTAGGCACAGACCCTACACAGTTCCATTTGGAGTTGCTTACTAGAGAGGATTGGAGACGCAAATGCCCATGCTTAAGTTTTTTTATTGCTTTAATCTGTATTATGTCTTCATAGATGGGAAGAGGTACATTTTTGTTTTCCTTACTGAAAACAAATATGGATTAATTGCCTCATGTTTGTATAAGTGATCGACTAGTGTAGAGATTCTTGTTTTCAGAAGGGAGGGGTGGTATAGCTAGAAAGCGACAAAGACAGCAATACACACGTAATGTTACTATATGTTGTTACTGAAATACTTAGATTTTTACAATTTCAAATCATAAATCACTTCTCGTAGGAGGGTCTCCATTGATTAGCTGCGGTATATACAGTTCACTACATGAGGGGCTGTTGGTTTTTGTGTGCTGCATTTCTGTTTTTTAATACCTGGTTTTGTACATACCTAACTCTGTTCTCTTTTGGTTACTCAGAAACTGGATTATTTTCTCCTAAGCAGTGCTTAATTTGTGTTTTTTAATTCTGATTCACTAGTTCCAGCTCAGAGGTGTCCACACTGTTCTGTCTAGAACACTTTGAGGCTCTCCATCAGCTCTCATGTATATATGGTAGAGAAACCATGGGGTTAGGCACTTCTTGGCTTTTTTTTTTTTTTTTAATGAGAAAATACTGTATTTAAAATGTAAAATAAACTTTTAAAAAGCAGGCACTAATATATATTTCTCCCAGCCTTTGATTACAGATTTGTCCTTGCACATGTTAAGGTAAATTATCTTCTAAAAATATCATTGTTCTCGGGAGCAGTGTATGTCACTTTACACAGCAGTGGTTCCTGTCATATGTGCTCATGTCAGAACATTTTTTGGTTTTAAACTTTTTTATTGCCTTTGGCTGTTGATTAGTACAGTACAAGTGCGATTTCAAAAAGATCTTGAAAATAATATATTTAATCAATTAAAATGTTTATCTGTAATCCATTGATGTTTCATTACTACAGTTACTCTCTGAAGCGTTAGTTCTGCACTTCCTCATTTTGGAAGGACGAGAAGAAGTGGCCCAAAAGACCTTTTCTGTTTTAAAAAGTTGAAAACCAACAACAAGACTATTTCTGACTGATCAGTTTTTTTTTTGTTTTTTTGTTTTTTTAAGATTTTATTTATTCATTTGAGACACAGAGATACAGAGAGAGAGAGAGCATGAGCAGTGGGAGAGGCAGAGGGAGAGGGAGAAGCAGACTCCCGGCTGAGCCAGGAGCCTGATGTGGGGCTCGATCCCAGGACCCCGGGATCATGACCTGAGCCGAAGGCAGACGCTTAACCATCTGAACCACCCAGGCGCCCCAGTCTGACTGATCAGTTTTTGCTGTGAATTGCCCCAGGGAGTTAGGAAAGATTTTAAAGTGTTCAGACTTTGGTGGAAAGGAAAGCACTGGCTTTTCTTATTGAAGGGGACTTAGAAGATTATTCCCCACACAACCATGTGCTGGGTAGCGTGTTCCTTGAAGTTCACAGGGACCCCCTGCTCTAAATTTTCCACGGTCTGGCACCTGCAAAGCAGTAAGCAGGGGAGTGCCCCTGTCAGGATAATGTGGAGTGCCAGAAACTATTCCAAAAACAACCCCCACCCCCGAAATGCAGGCTGACTTGGACCTCAAATTTCGTTTGCTTGTGTGAGATTTGGAGAGACAGAAGGAGTTGGTCATCTTGGGGTTTTATTGCCGTGTTGGGGTACCGTGAACACTTACGGAGAGCTGTTGGTGTGTGAGTACATCTCGGAAGCCGTGCAACCGAGTACTGACCATCTGCCTTATGGAAGAGGAGAAGCAACCAGTTCAAAATCATAAGTGATGGCTAAGAATGCACTGGGGGCTCGGAGTGCAACAGTCTGCAACCAAAACCGTCTTTGTGTCGTCTTTCCCCAGCTGAGCTGAGTTTAGCACTTCCGTCAGCAACCTAAAAATGTGTGAATGTGATCTTCTTGGGGGAGAACCAGTCTGAACTTTATTTCCATAGTATTAATCAGACTTGGACTTTTATCTCACATACTTGCAGCTTTTTAAGATGAGTTGATTACTGTCCTTCCAACACTCTTCTTTGGAATTTATTACGTGGTCCTTATTTCAGGTGCTTATTATTTTGCTTGATTTATTTTGTAATGAAAGAAGCATTAGCTCCATTTTTATTAGCTGTTATGCCACTTTTAATAAGTTGTGATTTGATTAGGATACTTAATTACCAGGAAATGAAGTGGCCGACTTTTCCAGAACTGACCTTGGTGTTTGGACTTGGGCCATCAAACATGGGGGAGCAGTAAAAATTGGAGCAGTCAATTCCTTTCTTGTAGTTTTAACAAAGTCTTGAGCATGATTGCTCCGTTCAGCCCGGCCCTGAACTGCTCACTTGACTCGCGAGTCTATGGAAAGAGCCAGTCCAAATGTGATTACATGCACTGATTTTTTTCACCTTTCTTTAATGTTCTATTTGTACAATTCTGACAGTTTTTACCCTTTACCAAAATCATGAACTTAAATATCTCCAGTTGAAGGTGACATAACTTTTTTGTGTGTGTGGCAGAATAGAGAGATGTAAACATGCTTCTCATAAGGTCTGCATTTTGTAACTTTTAATTCCGGTCTGTGTTCATGGAGAATTTTCCCTTTTACTAAGTAGAGGTCTACTCTGTTCTTTTAATCTGCTGGGTTTCTTCCATAGAGTAGTTCTTTGGCCATTTTTCTGTTAATTGAACATTTTAGGTTCCTTGTGGTTTTTTTATTCTAAGTGCTGTGCCAGTGAACGCTCTCTTACGTGTCTTCCTGCACGTCTGCATGAGTTTTTCAAGGGTAGATACCAAGAAGTGGAATTGTTGGCTCACGCGGTCTGTGCAATTTTTTTTTTAATAGACCTGCCACGTTGTCCTCCAGAGTGGCTGACCTAATTTCCCTTCCAGCTCCATAGTGTTGCAGAATACTGCTTTTTCCCCTGTCAACACTCCATATTGCCAGACTGAAGTCTTGGTCAGTCTGATGGGTGAAAAATGAAATTTCATCTTCATATGTGTTTCTCTGATAACTAGTAAGATTAAGCATCTATTTTTATTGGCCAGTTGTATTTCCTCTCCTATAAATTGCCTGTTTGTGTTCCTCTACCCATCTTTCAATTAGATAATTTTATATTGATTTATTAGCATTAAAAATATAGCTTGTATACTGATCATTCATTATATATATATCTTATTATATAATTTCTGCCAGTTTATTGCTATTCTGTTTTGTTTATGGCGTTAGGTCTATTTATGTGTCTGTGTTTGGTCATAGACGTTATAATCTGTATTGTCAGTTTCATTCATTTTTTTTCTTTTATGACTTCCATATATATGTATATACATATACACACATATATGTGCATACATATATCTGCTTCTAAATTCTGTTCCATTTATCTGACCACTTATGTGCTAATACTATAAATTACTGTAGTTTTAAAACATATTTTTGTACACGGCAAATCTCCCCCTTTTTGGATACTTTTTCTTATCTATTTTTGAACCTCTGTTCTGTATTTGTATTAATACATCTGATTAATGTATTTAATCATTAGCCTGTCATATTTCATGAAAAGTCTTAATGGGATTTACATTCGAGTATTGCATTATTTTCTAGGTTGATTGAGAGAGCTTACATTGCCTTTATAAAAGAGTGGTAGTGGGGCACCTGGGTGGATCAGTCAGCTAAGCATCTGCCTTTGGCTTGTGTCGTGATCCCGGGATCCTGGGATCGAGCCCCACGTTGGGCTCCCTGCTCAGTGAAGAGTCTGCTTCTTCCTCTCCCACCTTCCCCGCTCATGCTCGTTCTCTCACTCTTGCTCTCTCTCTCAAATAAAATCTAAAAAAAAAAAAAAGATGGGTAGTTCCATGCTCTTAAATGGTATCCAGTAGCAGAGATGGAAGGCACAACCTTAAGCTGTTGTCCCTGGCATTATTAGTTAGGATGCCAACTAATCTGGGACAACTGAGATTCAAAAATAAAGAGGCATGGGTGTCGAGCCCCGCATCGGGCTCCCTGCTCAGTGGGAAGCCTGCTTCTCCCTCCCCCACTCCCCCTGCTTGTGTTCCCTCTCTTGCTGTGTCTCTCTCTGTCAAATAAATAAAATCTTTAAAAATATATATATAATTAAATTAAAAAAAAATAAAGTGGCTCAAGTAAGATAGTTCAAGCTTATGAACAGGCCACAGGAGGCAGGTGGTGCAGGACGGGTCGGTTTCAGGACTTCGTGAAGTGATTGAGAGCCCCAAGTTTCTTTAATTTTGCTTCTTCACCATCCTACGGGATGGGATTGTTTCCTATGCATTGGTTAGAAGCAGGCTTGCCAGGATCACATCCCCAGTTCAGTGAGGGAGGTGGGAGTGGAGAGGCAGGGATACATGCCCCATTTTAAAGGGAGAACCCTTATTTCTGTTCCATCAGCAAGCACTTAGTCCCACGGCCCCCTCCAGCGGCAGTGTCTGCTGGGCGGTCACGTGTCCAGCCACAACTCAGAGAGGGGCGTATCTACTATGAAACAGACATGGCTCCCAGTGCACAGTTAGACTGCATTTGTCGGCTGAGTTTTGAAATCCGTAGCTTTCATTAATCTTCTCCCCATTACAGGAGTCCTCATTTATTGTGGAAAATTTAGACAGTATACAGAGATGGAAAAGCGTGAAACTAAAATGATAAACTTCCCACGAAGAATAGTTATCATTTGGGAAATTCCTTCCTGTGTTCTTTTCCTAATCTTCACTTCTAGAATTCTAGCATACAAAAAGGTATAGAGCGTAGTAAGAGTACACGTACCCACCACCCACACTGGTCACATTGGTCATTGTTTTTGTCTCGTGCTCATCGGATCTTGTCAAAGTAATAAAACAGGAATGAGAGAGTTTGAGCCCTGTGTACCTTTTCCTGATGACATTTGGCTCTTTCTTCCTCCCAAAGATAATCATTACCCTGATTTTGAGGTTTATCATTCCATAATAATGTGCATTGCCAGAAAAAGGAGATAATAGTGTTTTGCAGAATGCTTTTGAATTTTATATGAAATCCAAGGAAATAGGTAGACATTTATACATTCTCCCTTACCTAATACACTATGGCTTTCTTCACTTAGAAACTTATTTTGGTAATCTTCCTATATCAATACATAGGAGCTTCACTTGGATTTGTTTTTCTTTTTTTTTAAAGATTTTATTTATGGGTGCCTGGGTGGCTCAGTTGGTTAAGCG